CGCAAATTTAGTTACCCTAGTAATCATACATAAATCGACAAAGCCATTTGACTTACCAAAATCATTTCTGGGGCATTCTTTGCTTATTAGAGGTGAGAAAGAAGTAAATCAAGAAGCGAAGAGTTTACTAAAACATGAATTACGAAGTCATTCAAAAGATTTGAACATCAGTAGTGAAGTAATTATGGATCTTTTAGCATCTCACAGTAACATTACTTTAATAAGTACATCAAGTGTGCGATCTAAAGGATACGATACTTCTCTAGAGGAAGTTGAATTTACCCCATGTATCGTAATTTACTGTCTAATCAAAGGAGTTATTCCTCAAGGAGAATCATGTTTTCCATCCAAGCTCGAGGGACACCCTGTAGATGTTCGTGAAGGGTTTTGCACTTTTGCAAGCAACAGCGAACCTTTACGAATCGGTGAAAAAATATACTCCGATAATTCTATGCAATATGGAACTCTAGGTGGATTTGTTGACGTACAGCAAAACTGTAAAGTATTTATTACATGTGCACATGTGTTATGTCCTAATGAAATACTAAGACGTGGGTATTGCGCTGAATATTTTAGGAAACAAGAATTGTTTGTTTATGACACCTCGGTAAATGAATCAAGAGATGGGCAAATTGGCACTGTTCTTCGTGGAGTAATTGAGCATGATGATCCAAACAAAGTGAGTGTTGATGCGGCTATTGTAAAAATTTCGGCAAGATTTCCTGAAAATGGCGAATTCAATGATCAATACAGAATGCGCCAGTTAAGAAAAGCCGGTAAGTTACAATTTTTCATTATATAACCAAATGCGCTTATTTCCCAGAGTGTTGCTTCATTTTCTTCGCATTTTGATTTTGTAGGATTTACAAGTAAACAAATTCCTAACTTTTCCAATGGAGAAATGGATTCCATTACATCGTCCAACTTCAGAAACGTCATAAAGTTTGGAGCAAAGAGTGGTCTCACCATTGGATTTTTTCGTATGGATAGGGCGCATGCTATGATTGTGAAAGAAAAGGAGGTTTGTTTGAAATATTCAACGAATTCAGAGGACACCTTCCGCTTTAAGTTATTCAAACAGTACGAAGTATTCCCATTGCCAGATGAAAATAGTAAAATTTCACCGTTTTTTGAGATAGGTGATTCTGGAGCATTTATCTTCATGGTCACCAAAGATAATCCGCCAAGACTGAAATGCGTCGGCCTGGGAGTTGCCGTTACGTCGTATGGATCCTGTTTAATGACACCCATTGAAGACGTTTTGAAGAGCTTAGGACTCTGTAATGACAGCTTATCAAAATTCCAGTCTGATGAGAACCAAGAAGAGGAAGGCGTGTCAAATACTATAGGACTTGACACTTTTCAGAATCTGATGACCAATTTGACTGAAACATTAACACAAAATTTCACCACACAAATTAATGATTTACGCTCTGATCTTAAAGCCAATCAAGAATCGACGAAAGAGATAGAAAATGCAATGAAAACTACAAATAAAGCGCTTAAAAATATTCAACTACAAATGGACAAGAGTAGCCAAGATATGAAGGAAATAAAGGAACGTGTTCAAGTACTTGAATCCAAATAACAACTTTCCAATGACTAATACGGAATATCATTTATGTACAAGCTAGGGATGTCAATTTTGTCAAAAATTCATATTCGAATATTCAATGAAAGTATTCGAATATATTCGAATATTCGATAAAATAAATAAAATCTGTTTTATTTTAAATATCATCATCCTACTTTCGTAGGTATACTTATATAGGAAGTAAAATTGTATGAAGACTTTTGTAGGTGTACAATAAGAAATTCCATTTGATATTTGTCAATGTTTGAAATAAATAATTGATTTAAATGTAGAAAAGTATAATTTTAACAAATGAAACATGTATTTATAGTAGCCCCACCTGAGGAACCAGTCGTCTTACAAAAGGGAAGATAGCCGTAACGGTATACTGTTCAGATTTCAATAAGTGTAATAAATTACAATTATCTGCCTGATAAGAGATACACTGTATGATTATAATCTTTGATACAATGTAAACAAATATTTCCATAGACAATTTTCCTAGGTAATTAACTGTTTTCCCGATAATGAATATAGATTATGTACATCCCGAGATAATCAAGTAATTTACACATTTATTCTGAAATTAAGCCCTTTACAATATTAATTACAGATTAATTCTATCGGACATTCATTCAATGATCAATTAATTTTATTTTGATAAGTATACTCTTCACGCCTTCTAGATATTCTTAGATTTCATTTGTTGTCCTCGATTCTAGATCCGATCGTATCTATAACTAATAAAAGCTATGAAAGTACGTTTTGTATTATACATAAAGCATTATTGTACAATTCTTTACAACACCTTACTCAAAACAAAATATATGTAATTTAGAAGATTTATAAGATAAGAAAGTAGTGAAAGAAATCAGTCGATCGAAATTGATCGCTAGTAATTTAAACAGGGATAATCCCAGCACTGCTCTAATCAAAATTTATTAATCACAGTACTTTTTTTATGAAATCTGAAAAACACTGAATATTCGAATCTTAAATTCATATTCGAATATCAACTCATCGAATGAATATTCGAATATTCGTTGCCATCCCTAGTACAAGCACATCTTTAAAAAATGTGATACTAGTATATGGGATTAGTAAAGTTATCCATAGCGCATATCTTTATTTTAAAAAACAAGATAGTTTTGTGAAACACTGATGCCCCCGTATGCCAGCTTATGGTGAAGGTTAAAGTTTCTCAAATGCAAGTAAAAACCCAGTTAAAGAGATCAAAATTGTTGGTATCCAAAGAAAGGTCTTGTCTCGAGGAATACACCTGTGAAATTTGAAAGCCCTAGCTCCAATTGTTCAAAAGTTATGGCGAAGGTTAAATGTTTTTAAAAGTAAGTAAAACGTCAAGGTCAAGGTCAAGGGCCCCAAGGGAAGATCTTGTCAAAAGTGATACACATGTTTGTGAAATGTGAAAGCCCTAGAACCAAACGTTCACATGTTATGGCCAAGGTCAAAGTTTTTTAAAAATAGGACAAACTCCAAGGTCAAGGTCAATGCCAAAATTGTTGGTATCTAAAGGAAAGTCTTGTCCCAAGGAATGCACATGTGAAGCATGAAAGCCGTAGCACCAAATGTTTAAAAGGTATGGCAAAGATTAAAGATTTTCAAAAGTAGGTCAAACTCCAAGGACAAAGGGTCAAAGTGGTTGGTATCCAAAGGAAGGTCTTGTCACAAGGATTATACGTGTGAAGCTTGAAACCCCAAGCACCAACCGTTCAAAAGTTATGACCAAGGTTAAAGTTTTTCAAAAGTAGGTCAAACTCCAAGGTCAAGGTAAAAGGTCAAAGTTGTTGGTATCCGAAGGAAGGTCTTGTCACAAGGAATACACAAGTGAAGTTTGAAACTCCAAGTACCAACTGTTCAAAAGTTAAGGCCAAGATTAAAGTCTCATAAAATTTTGCAAAAGTGGGTCAAACTCCAAGGACAAGGTCAAAGGGTCAAATATGATGGTACCCAAAGAAAGGTCTTGTCACAAGGAATACACATGTGAAATATGAAAGTCATAGCTCCAACCAATCAAAAGTTATGGGCAAGGTTAAAGTTTTTGTGGACAGACAGACGGACGGACAGGGCAAAAACTATATACCCCCGAATCTTCGATACAGGGGCATAAAATGCAAGACCTCTGAAATATATAAACCAGCTTTTCAACATAAATTTTTAAAAAGAAATGGATTGCATTTCAATGGAGGTACATGTATATAAATGATCATATTAGAATTTTCTCGTACGTAATATTATTATCATCATTTTATATGTGCAAAACTCGCATGTGAATTGCTATACAAATATGGCTTAATTTGGACTATATATTTTACCATAATTTTTATTTTTTTTTATTTTGTCAACCTTGTACTTTATTTCTTTTCTTTAATAAACTTGTTTATATTCAAAAAGTTAAATTTGTTTTGATATCCAACTCTCTGTTATATATATAGTCTCTGATTCCCCCTCCCGCTTTCAAATTGATTTCTTGATATTGGGCAGGGTATGTTTTCGAGGTTCATCTTTATCATGTCAACCTTATGTTGAGCTTCGCTCGTTATGCAAATTATCCCACTTTTCCAACTATCGTTGATGCCTGGCATACCCAGCAACTACACAGTGATTCCTTAAGTGTATCATTTTATGCACAGTGCACGCAAGTGCGTGCAGGTGCGATATGTGAAATGACTGATATACTTCAAATAGATTAAACTGTCCTATTTTTTAAAAAAAACACATTCTTCGAAATTATGCATGTGTATAATAGAGTTCTACAATATGAAAAACGAAATTCTTATAAACATGCGCAAGCATGTGGTTGCAATTTGATTTGCTGAAACTTGAAATGGATATAACTTCCTTTTCTTTCAACAAAACAGAACTAAATTTAGAATAAAAATTCTAAATTTTGGTACTTTCATAGGCTAATACATCGACTTGCATGCACGTGTCCTAAATTTATATATGTATAATTATATATCTATATCTATATCTCTCTCTCTCTATATATATATATAGATATAGATATATAAGCGATGTACCGATTAATCAATTAAATCGATTATCTAATCGAAATATCCCCGATAATAGATAATCGATTATAATTTTGATAATCGATTACTTATAATATTAGTTAAAAGCAAATTATTCCTTTGATTTTTGATTCATTCTTCTTTGAATTTAATTAAATCCTAAGTAATAATTTAATAAATGAACCCAATGATATAAAATATTTCAAAAATGTATTCTAGAAATTACTCCAGAATTTCTAACCAATTTAAAAAATGAACAAATATAATATTTGATGAGTAGTAATTTTAGGCTTAAAAGTAAAGAAGTGATTTATGATTAAATGTTCAGAGTTACAGGCATAAGGATGCGTTGCCCAGACTATTCAAGCTGTGTTAGGGTAATTAAGAGTAGAGCGATGTCTAGTGTGGTCAAGAATAATGAGGTTTTAATCAGTGGAGCAATGGGAGCTATTGTTTGTAGAACTGGGAGCCGTATATTGAGTTAAGGTCAAATAAGAGTTAGGACAGTTTGATGAGGATTTGATAAAGATATATGTAGAGCTGGAGTTAGTTAATTAATAGATTGGAGCTAATGTTTTAGATAATCATCTATTGGAGCTAAGGTTTATATATAATAAGTGTGAAATGTTCAGAAGTCGGGAGTGCTTTACTAGGATTTAGACAGTACATATGCTAGCATAAATGTAACATCTTTCGTTTGTACTGTGCCTCCTCAATGTATATATGTAAATAAATTAGTGCATTGTTTACTGAATTTTTATTTGGATTGGGAATTACAAGAGTTACAAGGATTTACTAATCACGGATTTATACCAACAATTTGATATATATATATATATATATATATATATATATATATATATATATATATATATATATATATATATATATATATATATATGGAATTCATAAAAGTTATAATTGCTCGGTCACCTCCGTGACATATTGATAGATTTTTATTCGATTAAAGTGCATCCGATTATTTCGATAATCGATTATGAAAAAAATCCCGATTTCACACACACACACACACACACCCTCACACACATACACACACACACACACACACACACACACACACACACACACACACATATATATATATATATATATATATATATATATATATATATATATATATATATATATATATATATATATAAATATAAATATATATATATATATATATATATATATATATATATATATATATATATATATATATATATATATATATATATATATATATATATATATATATATATATATATATACTGTAGATTGGCAAATAATCACGATGGTTTTAATTTCACTATGTTCGCGATTCATCATTTTTCCGCAAAATTAAACCTATCGTGAATGCTACATAAGTTTTTAAAAACGTTTAAATGCGTATACGAATTTTAAATTAATTTTTTGCAGCGTGAAATTAAAACCATTGCGATTGGTACTCTTTGAGAAATCGTGAAATTTTAACACCGTGGAATTAAAACGACTTACAGTATATATATGATACCTTTAAGTAAGTTCATGAGGTTTTTAAAAGTTTTGCTGTAATTAAGTGCTGATGTTAGATACATTGATAAAATTGTGTACTAAAATTCAACTAACTGAAATAAAACATTAAGAAAATTTAGAGGAGCTTGAAGTTTAATAAAAATTTGCCTTCCAATATACTGGTAAAATTGTGCTTTGAGATTTATTTTATGCATACACACAAAGCTCAACGATATATTCTAAAATGATAATAAAATCTTTGACAAATTTGAAAATTCATAGAACATATTTTTAGGATTTGGTTATGTCTATATCAGAATGCCTATATTTTCCTTGTAACTGGTGCAAAGCAGTAAGAAAGGTTTTTTTTTTTTATTTCTTACAATATGCGATCGACTGTTTAGAATCAGGGCTGTTTACAATGCAAATCTGTACACAGTGTTAATTCTGAATGAATTTCCAAAATTAAGATAAAGGTTAATAGATATTTATCATGAAATCATTTAATGTAGTGATTGCTGATCAAAGTTAAGCACTAATTTAAAGGCCCCATTTAAACAATACATGTGTAAACAACAAATTAACGACATTCTGTGCAAGGAATTTAACATACCCTATACGATCAGTTATGTTGCCAAGGATCAGCAGAAGAAAACTTGCTTTACAAAAGATAAATCTAATTTTGTCGTGTATTTTTATGATTCTTCTAATTAGTAATGGATTACTTGACAATTTAACCACAGTGAGAGATGCCGCTGTCCAAGAATTAAACTACAGAGACTATATAGGTCATCACAGACTGTTCGGTTTGTTTTCTGAAGATCAGGGACGCACTGGTTTAGAATATTTTCCAACAAATGGAACCTATAGGAATCGTAGTTTTATGTGTAATGTTACAAGAGAACAACTGAGTAAGTTAAAAACTGATGCATGAAGACCTTTCAATCAAATTAGAAGATTGGCAAGATTTTACAAGTTAAAATCTCAAATTATTACCGGTTTTGCTTTACGGGTCACAATTCATTCATCTTCTATCAGACCGTTAATATTCTGCTTTCCATGGGGTTGAGGAGGAACATAAAACGATCAACAAGTAGCATCCTTGATCATGGTTTAATGCTCCTTTATAGATCACTAAACATGTAGATCACATACAACTTATCATTGAGTAAATGCTGACTGACGTTTTTCATACTAATTGTTAGGCCATTATTTATGCACTGAACTGTCTACTGATTTTTCCGTTTAAAATTTCTTCCCGATCATGAAAAGGAGCACACGGCGGGTGTGACCGGTCGGCAGGGGATGCTCACTCTTCCGAGAAGTCAGATACAAGTATTCTTAAGCTCGCGATTGTCAACATTTTTGATGACATCTGAGAACCGATTAAGTTCTGGTATCTAGATTTTGTTATTATAGAATTCCTCTATTGTCTTTTAGGATTAAAGAATTATCTCTTCAGTCCAAAAACTGTCTGTCTCGCATTATTTTCCATCCCGTAAAGGAAGATGCTGCATTGACATTTGTTGATATTTATAACAGGAAGTTGCCCTTCCCACAATGACTCTCGACTTTCTTTGGTAGCTCAAGAAATGTTTTGTTTTCTGGCAGACAATACTTTCTTTGCTATGCTTTTCGTCTTACATATAATGCTTATTTTAGTGAAATTGCATTTATTGTTTATGATTTTGCTAGCATATTGGGGATGCCCAAAACCTTTATCGTTTCCCCATGCAAATGGTTAGTGAGCATTTAAAAAAAAAAAAACGAAACGAATCTGATAAAATAAGAAAAATCTTTAAAATTATTTTTTAAAAACAATTTTTATTGCATTCATGTTTTTGTAGAAGGTCGTGAAGAGATAGATACCCGAGTCTTAACGTTCTCGGAACTAGAGCGAACATTTACGGATCATCGAGGGGGAAGATATCGGCCATCTCATTGTAACCCTTCATTGAGAATCGCCATCATCATTCCCTATAGGAACCGTGAAGCTCATCTGAAACGTCTCCTTTTGAATCTCCTTCCTAAGCTTAAAAGGCAGCTTATAGATTTTACAATCTACGTTATAGAACAGGTACTTCTAAGATTATTTTCAAAACTAAAGGTTTTTTTCTCCAACACACTACATTGTAACGAAGCGAAAACGCACAAGGGATTTAACGATGCTTTAATGAGGAATGCATGGATATTCAAACTATAATTATACAACTCGACACTTACATGTTATTTTCAGCTAAATCTAAATTTTATATATAAAAGTTTTTTTTAATTATAATTCTGAAAAAGCTGATATTTCACAGAGGGAGAATGAAGCGTTCAATCGAGGAATGATGCGTAATATAGGATATGTAGAGGCGAAGAAGAGGTTTCGTTATGACTGCTATATCTTCAATGACGCTGATACCATTATTGAGGATGACAGGAACCTCTTCATGTGTGGTCAAGATTTTGTTCATCATTTAGTTTCTGGTGTGCGGCGGTATAATTACAGGTAATTGGTTATTCTGAATTTGGTAACATAAATTTTGTGTGAATCTTTAAATTTAAAAGTTTTTCGTTCAGTAAGATAAATGCAAAACTAATTTACATTGATTTTAACACTATTTCATTAAAAGTGAGTAATTATTATTTCTTGAATATATCAATACATTCTTAACGAGGAGCATCTTTGAAAAAAATTTATCAAAACTTCAAACACCGTGTATTAACAGCCTACCATATAGAGGACTGCTTGGAGGAGTAATAGCTATAACTGACAAACAGATGATGACACTAAATGGTTACTCCAACATGTTCTTCGTTTGGGGAGGAGAAGATGACAATCTGTTTGACAGGTAAATAAATAAGTTAAAGATAGAATTTTGCTTCTTTTAAGAATACCGGAATCATGCTTAAGAATACGTCAATATTATTTTCCAGATTTATAGAGAGTAAAATATGGTTTGATAGAACAGAGTATCAAGACGGACTTGTCACAACTTTAGCACACAAGAAAGACAAGAAGTTTGTGTCTCGGTATGTTTTGTTATTTGCAAGAACTTTGAATCTGGATCAGATTTTTTCCCCTCTGATCCTAATTCAAATAAATACATAACTACTTTATAAACATTTCATTTTGTACTCTGTAATATGTCATTGATGGAGAAACCTTGTTCTGTATGAAAAACTCATCAAATGAAATTGCAACCAGATTCAGAACCCTAATGAAAACGAAACACTCCAAGAACTTTGACGGCGTTTCCAGTCTGCGATATGAAGTAATTTTCGTCAAATACAAACCTCTCTTCGTCTGGATCGTCGTCAGTGTAAATCAAACGCTTATCGACGAGGTAATTATAAACTAAGTTCCTTAAAATCCTAATAGCTTATCCTTAGCTTACATTATTTATCAAAAAGAATTTATTTTACAGGAATTTCAAAAAAATGCAGAGAATCATCTACGGAAGAATACATCATAACATCTAGTAAAAGACAATAGACAATATTTTAGAATATATATATATATATATATATATATATATATATATATATATATATATATATATATATATATATATATATATATATATTAGGGATGTCAACGAGTACCCGGTTAACCAGTTAACCGGGTACTCGATCGAACGTCCGAGTATCGAATACTAAAAATGGTACTCGGTTACTCGGAGTGTATTTTTTTCTTATTTCAAAGTACATATTTTTATCAAAAACTTATCAATAACTTAAATATGCATACGGTAATTGGCGTGTCGTCATCTACACCTGTAAAACACCCGTTATCGCCTGTGGCTGTGAATATACAGTAATTAGTGACCAATCACCTGGTACACAGCTGTTCTCACCTATTGTGGTCCTTAATTTTTGGATGGCTTCAATGATTGTTTTCAGTGAACATAGTTTAAAGTACATTGTATGGTCTATAATCTTAAAGGAAGAAATATTTAGAAACAACTAAAGTTTTAAAAAATGTTGAAAGTCAGTTTGCGTAGTTTAGTGTATATGGGGGAAACAACCAACATATGAAATGATATTAGACTAGTGATCCCAACAACGTCCGTTCCTTCCCTTTCGCTAGTCTAATCACCACAAACCTGATAACAGATTGTCTTCCTTTTGTGTTGATGAAATAGATCCTAAACAAAAAGTGTAAACCATTTGTAATTTTTGTGTATTAATTGTGTCGTTTGTGTTCATTTGGTAAGTAAATTTAGTACCAAAAAATCATTTCCCTTTGACTCAATTGTTTATATACATTTATAAACGTGAGAAAAAAAACAGCTTTGGGGTTTAACAGAACTTAACCGGGCTCAAGAAAATTAACACACTTGTATGTATTTTCATTTTTACCGAGTACCCGGGTACTCGATCGGAAAAACGTCCGAGTAACAGATTATCAAAAATTGACCGATTTGACATCCTTAATATATATATATATATATATATATATATATATATATATATATATATATATATATATATATATATATATATATATATCACCCATGCCGAGTCAAATCCTATATTAAACAAACATAGTGTGAGTGTTTGATGTCAGTATAAGACAATAATGTATAGATATATAGAATAGAAATTATTAATACGATGTCAAAATAATGTGATTCAATTTTAAAAAGTTCTAGAATGTAAATGCGCATGGAAGATATGTTTATGATATTGATATTCAAGCTTCACCACTTGTTCCCAAATTGTTGATTGACCAATGGATTGTTTTATAACATGACAGGAACAGGCTTTTCTTTATGGTCATAAAAACAATTGGGTCCAAATTCTCATATACTAGTGTTGGTTCTTTTTATTCTTATTACATACAAAACTGCCGATTTCAATCGGCATAATAAAATTCTCCAAGTTTTAGATAACTTGGTCAGAGATTTAGGTGAAAGGTTTTCTGTGTAATTGTAGATTCAAATTATGTCAATGCTGAATTTATATATAATTAATAATTATTAATTATTTTAGGAATTGACTCGTTCATGACAATTATGTCTCTCAATTGGCCTGGAAAATATACCGAAGTACATGTACTAATTTCAGTAATTTCAGTATCCCGTATCAGTCAATGAAAAACTTATTCAACTTGGGCATTGACCTGTTAAGAAAGATAAAAGCATACAAAAAATAACTAAAGTTTCTTTTAAAAAATTCTTTCGTCTTATTCAATTGTGAGTAGGGTCGGTGTACATGCAAGACTCTCACATTGGAGTGGAAATTGTGCGGCCGTGGAAAGGGCAAAAAAGACGCTTATGCATAACGAACAATAAATTTGCAAAAACACTAGAATACAAAACAAACAACTTAAAAAATAAATTCAACAGACTCGATTGCAAAAACAGCCATCTAGCGTCAATTCAGTCAATGACTCTTGGTTGTTAATTTTGCAGTTCAGTCTGTTGATTGTATTTTAAGTTGTTTGATTTATTGTATTTCAGTATGCTTTTTGGCGAAATTAATAGTTCGTTATGCAGAAACGTCTTTTGTTCCCTTTCCGCTACCAATAAACTTCGAATCCGGAAGGACACTTCCAGCAGCTGGGGCATTCCTGATAACAGAACTAAGTTTATCCTAAGTGATAATACCAAAGTAAAACTGGTTTACACAGTCTACTTATTATTATAGATAATTTATGCCTACCCCGAAAAGCTTGCAGCATGGAAAGTATTGCAATGCAGGCAAGTTTGATTGACATGGACTGTATATACAAGTACTATGAAGCCCCAGGTTAACATAAATTATTTGAAATATATTAAAATTCCTGATGCATATTAATATAAAAAATTATACATAATGCCATCTTTAAAAAATTGATTGGCTGCCCTCTCCCGACCGACTGACTAAAAATGGCCCGACTCAATTTTTTTTTTTTTTTTTTTTTTTTTTTTTTTTTTTTTTTTTACATTCCAGGGCATGATATTTTTTCTCTTTATTCATCTTATCCTCTTATATATCAACAAATATATTAAAAAATTTTCTGGAAAAAAGTTTCCCCACCTACCTACCGACTCAATATTTTTACCCTGAGTCGGGAGAGGGCAAACAAATATTATTTTAAAGATGGCCTAATTAATTAAATATTTAAATATCCACATTGATAGAAATACCAGGATAACCCATAAAAGCTCCAGAGCTTCCAATGGGGTCCTTTCTATGAAAAGATATTTTTAAAACAAATCCTTAATGGAGGATGCTATGGTGTTGCACGAGTAAAGATTTCACATGAGATGGTGCATTACCGTGGTAGATGTTGTACACATGGTTTAGTCTAATTTGTCGTACCCGATCCTCCATATTTAACGATTTTATTGAACTAAGCTGCTTGTACATGTAGTTAATGGAATATAAAAAGAAATAATTTGTTTGGGACATACTTGTAATTTCTGACAAATGTGCATATCATGCACAAAAGAAAAATTTGAATGATATTGTTTTAGAGCATAACAACATTTTACTCCTAATATGAACGCACAGAGAAAAAAATCTGTGGATTTTTTTCAGGTATAGAAGTGAACTTAATCAAAGTGCAATCAACGCTTATCTTTTATATTACCCATCACAGTGTTGCCAGGCAATTAATGTCAACAACTTTGAGGAAAGGATCCTAAATTTTTATAGATTTGAAATTAAACCTAGAAATTTCATTTTTCAGAGAGAGGCCTTTCTACTTTTTTTCAAATGGGTTTCAATATCCTATGTGGTCAATAATAATAATGAATATAAATGAAATGAAATAAAAATATATATATATAAATTAGAAAATAAACGAATAAATAAAAACTAAGTAAAAGAAAAAAAGTAATTAAAATAAATGTTGGAAACTGCGATACTTAATTAGATATTAGAAAGCAAATGTATGTCATAGAATACTAATTTTACTCCAGTTTCAGTCACTAATTTTACCCATATTTCATTGACTACGCAAGTAGTGCCATTTAAAAGTAGAGAGATTTTTTCTTTAAAAAGTTCTGGAGATGTATATGGTGTGGAATGGGTTGATTTTAGGGCAAAGATGGAACGGAGATTGTTTAGAAAAATAAATGTATTTATTACAGTGGGAAATTCTGCCTTTAAATGCGTAGTATGAAGGTTGTAAAGAGGCCATGTTTACCTTCTTGTTAAAGGAAAAGTGAAACATGCAGGATGGGGGTTACGATGTTTTAGCTAGGTTTGCAGACTGTGGATTCTTTAAATTCAGAAATAATTTTATTTTGGGCATGAAATCACTATTTATTCAGGATTAATTAATTCTAAACAAAATTGAAATAAATTCCCCATGCCAAAAAGAAGAATGCATAACAGAAAAATAATAGATAATATAAAAGGAAATTGTAAAAAGTGTGTTTCCTTTTATCAGTTTATCTCTTAAAAATTTAAACCGCTATCGAACTTGCATGTTGTCCTTGACTTTAAACGTTATCATTTGTAGATGCATAAAACAATGAAAATCAATAATTACAGAACGTTTCTATGAGGTCTTCAGGTCAGAAAATAGAATTTTGTGGACTGTCAATGGTGTTACACCTAAATAAATCTTTATTCAGAACACAATTGTGTCTTAATTTAGTATGAATTACATTCCAGTAACGAACACCAAAAGAAAAAAAGGCAGGAGTAGGTGTTTTTTGAGAGTTTATACAATTTTTGAAGGAACTTATAGTGGTGGATTGCCTTGATTCAAGAGGTAAAGGGTTCCATTCCCTTATTGCCATTGGGACAAAAGATGATTTATAAATGTTTAATCTACACTTAGGGATGCAATAATTTTGTGATTGTCTTGTTACGTAATTTGATTCGTGTGATCGAATGTTTGGAAATATTTCTTTCAGATACTCGGGTACCATATTGTGAAAAATTTTATACATAGTTGTTCTTACTTTGGACATTCTTCTAACAACAAGTGGTTCCCATTCAGTTTCAAAATAGAGAGAATCTCGCGATGCCAAAGAAGTTAATCCAGAAGTTAATTCTTGCTGCTGCTAGCTGTAATTTTTCTTGTTTTTCGGAATCTTGACTAGAACACCCACACCAAACTTCAGTTGCGTATTCTAACTGAGGTCTTATAAAAGTAGTATATAAAAGAGATAAAGTTTTAGCACTGACCCTGAAGTGCATTTTTTTAAGTAGACCTAATTTTTTATATGCATTGGCCACGATAGAATCAATGTACGATGACCATTTAAGGTCGTGTGAAAAGAGAATACCTAAGTGATTGTGTGATGATACAAAATCTAAATAACAGTCTTGAAATTTAAGCCATGGTAGATCTACATTTTTCTTTGTACTAAAAAAGATAGCTTTGGTTTTCGAAGGATTAAATTTCAATAGCCACTGT